ATACTTTTCTTTAAACGCCAAGAAAGAAACAAGGGCATTGCGAATAAACAATCGTGATCTCGGGCAAAACCCGAACTCTCTCAGGCAATAACTTTCTTTAACCTTGAAAACATCTCAAATTTTGTAAAGTTCTTAATAAAACTTATGGAACATGCTTCTGAATGTTAGATACAAGAATCGTTTCTATCTAGGTTCTTCCCATGTTGACAAAGAATCTAAAAGAGAGAAAACGAGAATCAGTCAGATGTGGAGAGTCATTTGGATGTAGCAATATACTCAATAACAGCATTTTTGACTGTCGTGAACATAATTAATCACCGTAGTTGATGTTTTAAGCTTAGTTTCAGTAAGATCACGGTTGTGGCCGAAATACAAAATGAGAATAGCAAGATGGCTGTAATAGTCAAAATTACAATCTGGCCGCAAAAATCCTAGAACCTATTTGTCCCACCTTCAATTTTACGAAAGTGCATCATAGCCCATACAACGATGGTATTGTACCTTTATCACCGGACCAAGAGTGATTGGCTATTACAGTCATCTTGCTATGCTACTTTTGTATTTCGGCTACAACTGCGATCTTACTGAAACTAAGCTTAAAATATCAACTACGGTGATTAATTATGTTCGCGATAGTCAGAAATACTCAGCCTATGATACAAGGTCGGACGAATCAGATTCACGATATGTTTTTCACAGCGAGAGTGAAAGTGACCATTCAGACACGTAGTGTCCCGACCATGCTTTTTTACGGTAACCTACGAGAAGAAATAAAGAATTTCCAGTCATTCTGACATGAGATTAGTTGTTCAAAGGTTAAAGAAAAACAAATTAAACCTTTAGAAACATTCCAAATCTTTCGTAGAAGTTGTCGAGACAGAAAACGGTGTACAAGTTCCCTAAGATTTTACCGGCGAAGTATCTAATTCATAAAGGATGCTACCAGGCTTCGTTAAGTTTTCTATCTATACATATTGTAGCGCTTTTCAAGGCGCATCGAATGGTGTATTGGACTAAGCTAAATATTAGATACTATAATTATGCAAGAAATTCCACGTTTTTGTATTATCTTTGAGTCAACCAGGCGCTCTAATGTAATTTTAGGCGTGTCGGCCATCTTGAATTTTTATACAAAACGAATAAAATAGTTCTCCGTAAACACGAGCGCTCTATAAATTAAATTAGCAAAATCGAAGCTAATTTATTCAGTATATGAAGAAAAAAATATTCTGGATCAAACTGTCGATTCAGATTTTTGAGACCTGCGCGCGGGCTGTGGTCCCATATCCAATATGCTTAGACGTTTCTCTTGTAAGATTCTTGTGTAAGAATCGATGTCTAGGGTAATGGTATTAAATACTCGTTCTCCCTCTAGTGTAGTAGGTTTATCTTTATACCATGTGTTAGGCCACCTAAGCTGTCATTCTTCTCTTTTTTTTTCGTTTGTTATCATAAAAGAATGTTGGGTTGAAAAGAGTTGAGTCATCATTCTTTTCTGTCTTGAGTGATACTATATATAGCGTTTGACTCTTAGTTTGAAGAAAGAGTATCTTTCGGTTTCTTCTTCGAATCGAGATTTCCTGTGTTTGCTTTTGATCGTCAAATTGAACAAGTGACCACGAAAAACGTGTTATTGACATTTTTTCTAAATCAATGATGTGTGACCTATCATCACGTTGTATATAAAATGAGTATTTTTTTCTCTATTTTTTCTCTGAGAAACATGTAAATTTATAGACGGTTGCAAAAAGTATGTGCTTTTTAAAATCATTTTTTTATCGTTTATTATTCTCATTTCTACTGTTTGGACACCACATTTCGAGTTTACTATTGCTACTAAAGTACGATACTTACATAGCACTATTAGAGAAGAATAACTTTGACCAACTGTTATCATATGAACGGATTTTTAATTCAACAAATGATGATTATCTACAAGCTAAATACGATTTTTTAACAGAATGCAGGCGTGAGTATGAAACCGACGTAGTTGAACTAAAGAAAATCGATGAATTTGAAAAACATTATCGGCCGAATCAAGCTGTCTATTGGTATACACGTGATTCATTCGTTTATCGATTAGTTAATAAAGCTTTAAGGACAGAAGATTTTTGTATAATTAATAAATATCGTTTATTAATTACAGATTTACATACGCAGTTAACTAAATTACATGAACAATTTTATAAGCAAGATCTTACATGTCCAGGCCAAACTTTCTATCGCGGTCAACAGCTTTCAGTAAAAGAACTAGAAAAATCAAACTTTGGACAATTGATTACTTTTAATGGTTTCTTATCCGTAACATCATCAAAAGATGTGGCTCTAATTTATGCGGATACAACAAAGGACGATTCTTCAGCTTCATTTCAAAGTGTTTTATTTACGGTTAAAGTCGATAATCGAAAAGGTCTCTTTTCAACCTTTCATACGATTGAAAAACTGAGTAATTTTTCCAATGAAAATGAAGTACTATTTTCATTGGGAACTATATTTCGAGTGCAATCAATTGTTAAAGATGAAACAGATCGGTTGTGGAATATAGAATTAAAACTACGGTTTTCAATCATGTAATGAACAAAAATAAACTCAGACTTAGGCTGCATGATGCTGATATTTTTGAACGTTTTTGCATTGAACTTGTGGGAATTTGATATGAAGTATACTTAAAAACCGTACCGGTCGGTGAGACAACTTCCGGGTATGGTTTGTTTGAATCTTTTTCACCAGTCAGTTTTTGCCGATTGAAAGATTAAAAAATTAAAGGATTTTTTTTGTAAAAATGAAATAAATAGCTTTACCATTCCTATTAATAATTTACCATGCAACAAATTTCAGACAATAATTATCTATTTCAGCTTGAGAGTTTGCACTGTATTTCATTTTTGCAACCTTCAGATATGTTAAGAATCCAGCTGTTCTTAATTATGATCATCTAAACGGACCATCAGCAACAGATTATTATTATCAAATTTATATCAAACAGTTTTGTTGATTAAATTCAAAACTCTTCAATAATGATTATGAATTAAATCGAGAAAAATATGATTGATCATAATAAACCGTTGGACCAGACTTCATTGATTATAGATCGATTGTATACGAACTACATTAATTGCCCGATTAGTCGGAATTATGATTCTGATGATGAACGTACATCTTTTGTATAATCTCGCTCGTATAGAACGAGGCTTCGAATCGTGGGAATTAAAAAGATCATCCTGTTACCATCAAAAGCCAATGAAAAGACGGACAGACGAGGATATCTATTGATGGTGTTTCGGAAACTGTTTATCACATTGTACCGGCATACTAAAAAATTACCATGGAAAAAATCCTACTCAACTACATAAATCTGTTGAACAAGATTTGGGGAAAATAATCGCGTGGCTACTAAATAAGAACTGAAAACGTACCAAACCACCGTACGTGTCGGGACTGGATAAAATCAATGATTTGATAAAGAAAAAACTTTTCTAAGATGAAAAATAATATAAAAAACAATGTACAACTGACGTATCACTCACCCCATAACACCCGATCGAATGACCACAATAAAATCAAGTTAGTTTACGGAAGATGTAAAAACTCAACTCTATTTGTTTTTCCCTTTTCAACATCAATGTGGAATAATTTAACGGAAAAATTAAGTCCGATATATAAACTGTAATCTTTTATACAAGATCTATCGAAGTTCTTGTAATTCATGTAATAATACTTGAAGTCTGACGTGTTACTGGGCTTGTTCCATGCTTTTCTATCCATTCGACGATGGCAACTGTTTCATATGTGTGCCTACCTTCAGCAACTACTGGATCTTGAAATAGTTTGAAAGTAATTCGACATACAAGCAATTGACAGTCTGAAGCTGTTGTGATATTGTCAGACATGACCTGACATGATCTCTTTTTCTTTATTGCAGTAAACATTCATAAGATTATTAACACAAAATCTACACACAAAAGAGCATGTTCAATATGCGAATGAGTTTAAAGACTAATCACAGTCAATTGATCATCCGAGTACTATACTAAGAGATAATTTGCCAAAGAATTGAAAACGCGTCAGAAAGGGTATAAACACGAAAAAGTATTTGTATTATTGTTCAACATTCGACTATCGACCGTTTGTTCATAAGTCTCAATTCTACCTATTAGCTTACAGTCATTCAAACATTAAAAGTCTTAGCTTGTAAACACCGGTTGCGGGTTAAATGTGCAGTAAACGACAAGGCAGAATATATGATAGTCTCAGTATTTTCTATTTTTCTCGTATCCCTGAAGTCTCTTGAAAAGGACGAAGGAGGATGATAAAAAAAAAGCGAAAAACTATACGAACTAATTGCGTCGTCTCAAAATCATCAACTTTATAGCTTGAAAATCAGTCTTTGGGTTTTAGTCTATTCATTTATATTTTGCAATTAACGATTAGATTTTCCTGTCGTAATTATTAGAAACAAAAGGAAATTTTAGTTGAGCACATGTTATTAACAACATCACACTGAGTACGATTAGTCAAATAGGATCAAAACCATTCGATAAGATTACAACTAACTCTAGCTACAATTACTTTATTTAGAAGTTGATGAGACACGCAATCACACGTTTTTTTTATAGTCAAAAGCTATCTGAACAATTTTCTTATCATTTTTCATCGTTTTTTTCTAATTGAAATGTGCTGAAGTGACTGGTAGCAACGGTTGAGGGCTGAAAACGAAAAACGAACTGATTTCGGAAAGGGACATGAAGTCATCGGTACGGCGCGAGACTATTACGCACACCTCTGTTACATACGTAACGTTTATTGTGCACCTGACAGAAGGAAAGATTATCTTGACAACTTATTCAGTTTTCTACCTCAAAATACTACAAATAATTTCTTAGTTTTAGTTATAATTTTTAGTTTTAGGTTATCACAGTGCCACAAGTCTTTTATTCTTTTTTGTGATATCCTACTCTTGAGTAAAAATAAATCTTATCTTATCTTAACAAAAGATCTTAGAATTTTCTCGATAGAGCTCATTTGTTACGTCTCTTTCTAGTTTAAAAATCACTCTCGTTACCTTTGAATTGATCCACGTGTTTATTGCTGCTAGCACCACTTATGACACTAATATTGATACCATTATATGCAGTCGTATGATCGTTTAAGTTTTTAATTCGTATTTGTTTTTGTTTTTATTTATTCACTAAACAACGGACGTTTTACTCGCCTTCTTTCGGTCTAACAATAACTTAAATTGATTATGTCTCAAACAAAAATCTAAAATCAGTGTAAATTCAACGGCTAGAGGCCAAAAGAGATAATAAACTGAGTAAACCCAAAAGAGATAATAAGTTATATTCCTAAAAGAGATAATAAAACGAAAAAT